GTCTTTAAAAGGTGTTGCTGGGAGTACTTGGATGATGCAGAAGCAGAATTTAGGGAGTACGCAGTCCGGGATATAAGGCCTATAATGTTAAAAATGTTAAATTATATATCTGGTTGCAATGTACAGGCCTAGATTTAATTCATAAAAATTTAAAGCTTAAAATAGGCATATAATCCAGCTTCATTAATCTTGAGTCAAAAATGTCAAAACCCAGGTAGAGTCTTTTGCCTAAGTGTCACATGACCAAATGAAAGAGGAGATGACGGGTGACTTGGACTATTGTGGAGAGAAGTGGACAGACAGAGATCTTGAAATTAATAGGGCTTAGTAATTAACTAGATTTGCAGGGTGAGGAAGCAACCAGATTGATGCTAACTTTATTTTACAGTGAATTTTACTATGCTGGCACATACATGCTTCATAAATAATTGCTAGTTACAAGATGAGGAGGACAGACGTGTGGGAAATGGATAGATGTGTAGACCAGGAAGCAGATAAAGATGAGTTCAAGGTCCTTGAGAAGTTAGGAGAGCATCTGAGCTCTTATGCACCTGGATTGGCCAGGGGAGGAAAGGGGCACCTTCTCCATCTTAACGAGAGGAAGGAGGAGCAGCAGTATGGATGAGGTAGGCTGGGGACAAGAAGTAGAGGAAGTTTTCATCTGATGGCTTTTAACTTCACTGTGAAATGGGGAAGGACACTGAAGGTTTGGAGAGACCAGGAATATTTACAATAGTTGCTGCAAAGAGGAGAGAGTGAGCTGACCCTACCCTCAGCTCCAGGGAAGGACAGTGTGAGCTAAGCCTAAGCCTACCAGGCATCTTAGTCTGTCTTAAGTGCTTTGTTTAAAATTGGGAGAATTCCCCTGGCCGATGTGGCTCCGTGGTTGGGGGTCGCCCAGTGCACTGAAAGTCTCCCGGGTTTGACTCCCGGTCAGGGCGCATGCCCTGCTGTGGCTCTGTTCTTGGGGAGGGGGCCTGCAGGAGGCAGCTGGTCATTTCTCTCTCTCCCTGGCCCTTCCTTTCTCTAAAAGAAAAATTTTAAAAGAAATTGGGTGCATAGCCCAGTCAGAGCACGATAGGTTTGGCCCGCCTCCACACCCTCTTCCGCTACCCAGACTTGAACAGCGGATGGAAGCTACGAGGTGGCGGCTGAGGGGCCCCATGTCCTTTCTGCTCTCAGCATCCTGAGAGCGCAGAGGTGGAGAGAGAAACCAGTCCTCCGGAAACAGTTCAAACCTTCATCAGCCCACTGAAGCCAGTCCACCTCTGAGCACGTCAAACAGTTTTGTGAGCCAGTTGATTTCATTATTTTCCTGAAGTGTTTTGAGAACAACTGCACTGGAACGAACGGTAATTTCTCAGGAGTTGCAAGGTCCTAGGAGAATCTATATTAATGCCAAGTAAGGAGAGCTCACCCCTTCACCCTGCCTGGGCTTCTGATGCTTCTGATGTGGGCGCAGGGAGGCTGCAGCTGCCATCCCTACAGAAAGGAGAGACCTCACACTTCCCTGTAGCACTGCTGGTGTAGGTGACGTCTGCCTGTCCCTTGGAGTGCTGAGTCCTGAACAGACAGGTGTGACCAGCCCCTGCCCTCCGATGAATCCACCGGTAGGAAGTCCTCAGCAAATCCACCTCCTGTCATTGCAGATGGCGGCAGATGGGGGCCGAGCCTGGGGGGTGACGTCTACCTCTGCTTCCTGGCAAAGAGTTTCTCTTTCACTCCTGCCGCATCCCCAGTCTTGGGAATCAGCTCCGCCCCCCCCTCCTCATGCCCCTTGGTTCTCCTTTGTAATTGTGCCGGCGTTGAAGGATATGGGTGGCAGTTATCTAACACACATTAACCCAGAAAGGGATTGAAAAGATGCTTGATGGGGCTGGAGGCAGAGGGGAAAGGGAGAGACAGAAAAATCCCAGGGCCTGTGGAAAGGACTGAGCCACACGCAGGGTCAGTGGTCAGAACAGGGTCCTTGGGTGTTCTCGGTGTTCTTCCTCTTTGTGCTGGGCGGCCGGGGCAAGGGACACGGCCCTGCGGTCAGGGCCCAGGCAGCAGGCCCAGAGGCAGGGAGGAGGGCTTTGCGGACAAGCCCAGCCCTGTTCTCAGTAAACCCAAAGTAATTCGATCTTTGTCATCTTGATCTTGGAAACTGATCTTTCTGCTCCTGAAAGGCTGTGTTTTCTCACATCATTCACACTGGAGGGAACATGCAGTACAACCCAGCCAGGAGAGTGTGGTGACCAGCATTTGCAGGCTTAGTGCTACCACACTATCTGTGCCGCATGCCCCACGAGTGTCCTTTCATGTAACCCTCAGAATACATCTTTGAGGTGACGCGTCCCATTTCAGGAAGGCTAATTACCGCGTCTAAGGTCGCATAGCTAGAAGTGTCAGGAACAGGGTTTGAACCTTGGCTGTCTTGCTCCAAAGCCCCCACACTCCATCCCCAGGCTGCACTGAACAGGAAAGAGCCTTGGCTAACCTTAACAACAGGTTCGTCATGGTTACTGATAGTTGGGGATACTTTCAATAGTCAGAACTAGAAGAGAACCTGGACTTTATGTAGTCCTCATCTTACAGGGGAGGAAGCTAGTGCAGAAACACCCAGGGGTCTGGCCTTGGCTCCATGCTGCTTGTTCTACTTCCATAAAACTCCTCAAGCCCCCCGCACCCAAGAATCATCATGGACAGTGAATAACATCTGAGAAATGTGGTCATTAATAGCCCAAGGCATTGAGATGCTTCGATATCCAGTGACGGCACCAGTGTTCTTTAGGTGGCATAGTACACACTCCTGGGACCAGTTTTTAGGATTGAAACAGTTTAGTATAGGATGACAATGATCCAAGGAGAACTAAAGTAGAAAAGTCTGTCTGCAAATCAGAATTAGGTTTATTCATTCATGTATCATTCATTCAACAAACAGCATGGCACACCCACGCAATCACCCTTGCGTTGTTATGGTTAGTCCTGGGATCCTCCTTCGACTTGGACCCAGGGCCCTGGGGGCTTGTTGTAGCCCGAGCAGGGTGTCCGCTTACCTCCGGTGAGCTCATCCGGACGAGGACCTCACAGCGTCACTAAGCTGACTTCGCAGCTCTACGCGCTGGGAAGCGTCCAGCTTCACGCTTGCTCCTGGGCAAGCCGGCTTCTCCTCTGAGGGGAGAGTGCTTGAGAAGCGGAGGTGCTGTTTGGTGGTGATGTATTAGTTCCCAGGCTTCCTAGGGAGAGTGTGGGTCCAGGCCACCCCAGGAATACAGGTCTTCACGAAGTCCTGGTCCGGCTGAACTCGGCCTTCCGAGAACCAAGGGTGCCAGGAAGGCGGAGAACTTAACCAGAGAGGAGCAGAGGCAGCCCTTGGAACCCCTTAGTACCTTATAAAAGCCAGGTGTTTAATCATAAAAGTTATATCTTTTTTTTTTTTTTTTTAATGGTACGTGCCCCCAGCGGGAACTGAACCCGGGACTCTCTGGTCCGCAGGCCGATGTCTATGCTCTCAATGGCCTCCCCAGGAGCAGGAGGTCGGCAAGGTCATGCACGTTCTCCAAGGTTAAATGGTCAAAATCTGCCCTTGGAGTTCAAGGCTGGAGATGGATTAAAGAAGCCACTGCTGGCCATGGGGCGCTTGCCAGCTGAGGGTAGATTGCTGTACGGGGTGGATGAGCCAGGGCACAAGTTACCTACCAGCAGAGTTGGAAGAGTAGTTTATTTAAAACAAAAATTTTTCTTTTCCTTTATTGATTTTAGAGAGAGAGGGAGGAGGAGAGAGAGAGAGATAGGAACATCGATGACAGAGAACATCAATTGGCCGCCTCCTGCATGTTCCCACTGGGGATCAGGCCCACAACCTGGACATGTGCCCTGACCGAACCGGCGACCTCTTGGTGCAGGGGTCTACACTCAACCACTGAGCCACCCCGGCTGGACTGGAGGAGTAGTTTAAAAAGAGCCAATGATTGTTTCTACATACAAATACTTAAAAAAATATATTTATTGAGGGAAACCTCAAAATATGTGTTTTGATTACTTTTAAAATCCCTGCCACTAAACAAAACTTAATTATAAACTGGAGGACTTTAAGAACTACTTTAGGAACCTCTGTACTTTTGTGGTGGCTTTTAGAAAAGCATGATTTGAAGGACACCAAATTTTTACGTGACGCCAAATTTTTCTTACAGGTTCGGTCACATTTTAGTTACTTTTCATGAAATAAATGTGAAATTGTAATTTTCTTTTAAAGCTACTCATTTTCTATTTCTACAAAAAATATTTTCTCTAATGTTGCCACAATTCAACTTTTATTTTTGTCATTTGTTTTTGTAGAACTTTCCTTACTGATCTTCTCCTTGAGCCCTTGAAACATTTGCCCAATAATTTAACTTAACTTTCCAGTCTCTTTCTGGTGAATCAGTTGGTGTCTTTAGTCAGTAAGTACCTGGGGAGTGCCTACTCTGAAAGGGGCTGTTTCTTTTCCCTTTTGTATGGAATTACATTCCGTGGTCTCCTCTGTTGGAACTTACATGAATCCACATCTACATTATATTATTCTCCCCCCTCTTTTTTCTGTGGTATATTTAGCAGAACTGTCGTGTCTGGGAACCTCATTTGCCCCTCCATTTCGTCTCTGCATTTCCGGAAACACCATGAATAAAATCTCCTTATATTAGCTTCCATAATACTTGTTGCTTTTCCAGATTACTTGTCAGAGTTTTCTAATGGATTCCTGGTTCAGAGAGTAGAGCCAGGTGGAAATACATTTCTCAGTGGGTTGCGAGGGTGCCAAGATACCAGGCCTTGAGGTAGTCAGAGCATCATCTCTCACGGAAGCAGCCTGAGCCGTCACTCAGCGTGGGCGTAGATTTTCCCTGGTGGGCCTGGGAGCCACGAAGGTGGAGAAACACCGTGGGGGGCATGAGAGGCCTGGAAAAGAGGGGAGAAGGAAAGGGTCCGGCTGTGGCGCCCACCCTCTTTCCGGTCGCTGCTACCCTCCCTGGAGTTACCTGTCACAGTTCTCTCTGAGTTTTCTCCCTCTGGAGCTGGCCCCGCTGGGCAGCCCGCTCGGCCTCTTCGGGGAGCAGCTGCAGGTGCTGCTCCTTTTGCTCCACAGCTTCCAAGAGCTTCTCCATGCGGCAGGTTTTCGGTGAATCCAGCTGCTGCCGGTGGAGAGCTTCCTGGTCCACTTGTGTCCTAACTCTTTCCGCGATGAGCCCGTGGCAGGGAAAGGACAAAGGACACGAGAAAGGTAGTTTCTTAGCACAGAGCAGGGAGCTAGAGGCTGGGGGACCTCCGTTAGGGCCGGGGTAGAGCTGTGTGGAGTATCCCTCGGTGCAGGTGATACAGCCCAGCTGTTCTGTCCTGTGCCAGCAGCAAGACCACCAGCACGTGGCATTTACCGTAGGCCCCGAGGCAGCCGTCAGGGGGAAACAAAACAACACAAAATAAATGCACAGCAATCATAGCCAGGCATGTGATAATGCCACTACCCAGCGAAACCAGGTCAAATAATTTGGAGTTTTAATACCCCAATTTGATGATAATATGTATGTTACTTAGCTTATTAACCAGAGTCACATCTATCACAAACTGCATCTGCACTGCCACTGGGCTTCCATCGGAGCCGGGAAGGGCTAACCTGGGAGACAGGTGATCCAAGACCTGTGCTGAGTGGGGAGGGGAGGGCCGACTCTGCTCTCCGCTTTGACTTCCAAACTAGTTTTGGGGAAGCCGGGTTCCAGATGGTTAAAGAAGGTAAACAGCAGTAATAATTTGGTTCTGTTCTGAAAATTTTCAAATCAGTAGCACTATAGTACCATATGGTCAACTCTCAATGATAATACTACTAATAATGATTAATACAGCAGGTCCTTGAATAGCACCATTTTGTTCAACGTTATTTCTTGTTTTTCTCCTCACCCGAGGACATTTTTCCATTTTTTGTTTAGATAGAGTGGGAGGGGGAGAGAGGGAGAGAGAGGGAGAGGGAGAACATCGATGTGAAAGGGACACATCGAGTGGCTGCCACCCTCATGACCAACCAGGGCCGAGGACAAACTGCAACCGAGGTACATGCCCTTAGCGGGAACCGAACCCGGGTCTCTCTGGACCACAGGCCGACGCTCTAACCGTTGAGCCAAACAGGCCAGGGTTTTCAACGTTATTTCATTATAACGTTGAGGAGATGCCGTAGGAACTTAAATCTTGTTTATATAAATTAGCCTGCGGTAAAATTGGTTTTGTTACACATCATTTCACTTAAAGTTGTAGAACCTATTGATGACGTTAAGTGAGGACTTATTGTACTTGTATGGTGACTTCAAAGTTTACATAATGATACATCATAGTCCCCTGGTGCACAATGATGGAGAAATTATGATACGAAAGGAACAAATCACATTTCCTGATTTAAATATGCCCAGCTTTCCCAGGCTGTTATTTAAACTTAGCTGTTCTCTCTCTAACCCGAAGTCTCTCTGCTTCCTTCACGCTCAGACGGTTGGCACAGTTATTAAGAGCTTAGACTTGGAAACACCTTTACTTTAGTGCCAGCCCCTATTGAGCAGTAGTGACTTCTGAAATTAAGACTTAGCATGGGTCATCAGGAAAGGACCCGAGATGGTCTACTTGGGGCATACTGCTGACAGCTGGGGCCACACGCCAAGGGCAGAGGGTCGCACTCTTAGAAGATGAAAGGGTGGTATTTAAGGCAGAGACCCAGACCCCAAGATGCCTTCTGGGTGAAAAGATCCTCAGAGAAACACACATACACGCACAGACACACACGTGAGAGAGACACGAATGGTCTTAAATAATCTCATGTATAAGTAACATTTCATCATCGTAGCCAAATACAAATACGAACAAAAGCCTTTTGGTTTCTGGGCTGGAAAGAAGGGAGAAGGGAAGCCAAGGCCCAGGCCATCTTCCTCTGGCTGTGCCATCTGCTGGGCTTCACACCTGGAGCGCGGAGACTGCTCCAGGTGACACCTGCGCTTCCACCTCCAGCTTTGCGAGTGCGCTGTGGGGGAGGGGCGTGAGCTTCTGCGCTCAGGTACCTGGCTGTCCAGCTGCTCGCACATCCTGTGCTGCCAGCCTGAGCCCTGGCCAGGGCCTGCCCCAGCGCCAGTAACTCCTGACGAAATAAAAGCATTCTCCTGCCATTCGCTGGATGTCCAAATACTCTTACTCCGAGTCGCTTCCTGTGCGATGAGAACCGGTTTCCCTCCCACAGCTGCAGCCTCAGAGCAGCCTCCACCCCACCCTACCACTGTGGTTCTTTAAAGCTCCTGGTAGCAGGTGCCCCTGGCCACTGCCTCCGGGATTTCCGCCGAGAGCAGGGTGACAGACCAGAGGAAACTTTCAGAAACAGTAAGTAAAAGTTTCCAAACCACTATTAATATATGCTTTGGTTTCATTTTACCTTACAGCAGATTTTCCACTTATTATATATTGTTACTTCACTTTCCTCAGATAATCATGTTTGAAACTCAGATCTGAAGCATTGTGAAGAAGCGGCCTCAAGCCCCTGGTAAGGTCTCTCCGCCACAGTTCCCCTTGCCTCACGCCAAACTCTGACCTGTTTTCCCATTTGCTTCTGGCTCTTGCCTGTTTCTCTCCAGGCTCTGACACGGCCTGTTCCCTGGGAAATGCTCTACTGACAGGTCTGTTGAGATGGTTGGAGCAGCCCAGCTGGTGTGGCTCAGTGGTTGAGCGTCACCCATGCACCAAGAGGTCACCGGTTTGATTCCTGGTCAGGGCACATGCCCAGGTTGTGGGCCCGATTCCCAGTGAGTGGCACTCAGGAGATGGACAGTCAATGTTCTCTCTCATGGATGTTTCTATCTCCCTCTCTCTAATATCAATAAAGGGAAAAAAAAAAAAAAAAGATGGTTGCTGCAGCCAAGCCCCCCACCGTCACCCCCCAGGGCCAGGCCTCCCTCCCCCATCGCTCACCTTCTGGGCCCTGCTCAGCTGGCCCCAGAATGGAGCCTGCTGCCCAGCCAGCCTGCAGCGGCCCCAGCCCCTCACTCGGCACACCAGGGCGGCCAGGCCGCAGTGCTCCTGCTCCAAGGCCCACAGCTGCTCCTGCGAAGAAGGCTCACTTTCAAAAAAGGCTGCCCCCAACACTTTTCTTGGGAGGGCATGAACCCTAACATTCTTCCAGAAGATGACACAATTGTGCCCCTTTAACAGGCTGGATGCAGCCCTGCCTGGTTTGGCTTAGCGATTAGAGCATCAGCCCGTGGACCAAAGAGTCTCGGGTTCGATTCCGGTCAAAGGTACATACCTTGGCTGCTGTTCGGTCCTGGCCCCGGTCAGGGTCATTCAGGAGGCAACCAATCGATGTGTCTCTTTCACATCGATGTTTCTCTCTGTCTGTCTGTCTCTCTCCCACTCTATATGAAGATAAATGGAAAAATATCCACAGCTGAGGAGTAAAAAAAAGGCGATGCATTGCTTTCTCAGGGAGACCCAGTGGAATGCAAACACAGTGCGCCGTGGGGTCAGATGCTGGGCTGAAGCGCTGAGCTCCCATTGCTAAATGAAATCACATACTTTGGCTGCGTTTTCTTTCATTCCTGCATCAGGCCTGGCAGAGCCCCATTTTTTTCTTTAGGTCCTTCACATGATCCATCCATTCTGCTCTCACTTCGCTGATGAGCTCACTCACTTTCTGGATCAAATTAAGCTGATTCTCATCCAGCTTCTCCTGCAAAGTGCAGACTCGAGTTCAGGAAGGGCACTGAGGAAGAGTCATTTTGCCTTCTGAAATGCAACTTTCAGAAATGATTTCACATGAAAAAAATCATCCACCCGGACAGTTATTTCATCAGGTGGTGTCTGAACGTCTCCCTAGCAGCCCCCTTCGTGTTGGCTTCATCTTCTGAGAGCCTGCCAGGTGATCAGACGCCAAGGCAAGTTGAGTGGGCAGAAGAGCGGGAGGTCACAGATGGAACACTGACCACCCCCTCCCAAATGGATACTTAGGCATTTAAACTTAGGGATTTTTGCTATCAGGTTGATTCAGCAGACCCTGACCTCATAAAACACTGTAGATTAGCCACTAACAGGGAAGTCTGTTAAAAATAGATAAAGCAGCCCAGCAGGTGTGGCTCAGTAGACTGAGTGTCATCCCATGGACTGAGAGGTCCCGGTTCCATTCCAGGTCAGGGCACAGGCCTGGGTTGTGGGCTCGATCCCCAGTAGGGGGTGTGCAGGAGGCAGCTGATAGATGCTTCTATCTGTCTCTCCCTTCCTCTCTCTCTAAAAAATCAATAAAAAACATTTAAAAGAATAGGCAAAGCGGAGGAAAGAATCGGGCTGCCTGCCTTCCTAGTTACACGCCGGCATAAATTTCCTTATGAAACAGCCTGTTCTAAATGGCAAATGGCTTATGGTAAAATGACTTGACCATTGGTAAGTACTACTGGAGACTCAGTGCTCTTAGGTTAGGGATGAGAGTGGGGTGTCCTCTCACCTTTGAACCACTTCCTAGAGAGGAAGGCAAGAGGACCGTGCCCAGCGGGGAGCCACGGCAGGGGGCCTGGCTGCTGGCCACACAGCAAAAGCTTCACCACCTTCTTGGGACCCCGGAATGGAACAGGGATTCCCTACTTTGGGGGGCTTTGTAGAACTAGTTTAGCTGGAAGAAGTACAGAATCCACTTGTTGTCTTGGAATTTGGCAGAAGCTAAAAAGAACTTAAGACATTTTCAACAGTTTCACCCCTGAAAGATGGCTTAGCAGATTCCAGCCTTCCCTGTCCACGCCCCTCTCCCCGGCAGCACCGGCCCAGTACATTTGGGTTTGGATCCTTTAATATTCATAAGCACTTGTACTTTGTGGTTCCTTCACAAGTAAGAAGGAATCTCCAGTCCTCTCTGAAGTGACCAGGCCGGGGCAGAATGTGATAAACCCAGGGACTGCCCTGGGCTCCCCAGGAGAGATAGGAGCTAAGGACCCAGCTGCGGCTGGCTCTGGGAGTGTGCAATATCGGAGACGGGGCAGTGGACTGGAGGGTGGTGGTTGGAACGGAAATCCTTACTTGTCGGACAGCTGGCTCAGGCTCTGTGGTGGCCCATTTTAGACATGGGGCTTCCATTTACAGCTGCTCAGACCCCCTAAGAAAGGACAGGCTTCCACAGTGCTGCAGGCACCTGGGCACCCCTTGCTCCTCCTCCAGATGGGCCTTCACTGGCGGGGCGCAGCTCCCTGACACCCATGTTAGAGAAAGCCTGGCGGGCATTCTGAGGGTTGGAGAAAACCTCTGAAAGCTGATCCAGATTCTGAACCTGCCCAGAGAGCTTTGTGGAGGTGCCTGCTGCCACCTGCACTGGGGTCTGGCCTGGCCCAAGGCACTGTTCTCTTCTGTTTGGACGGTCACACTCAGACGTTGGAGGAGAAGACTCCTCCTTCCCCCTTCCCCTCAACTGGCAGTAGAATGAGCAAAAGAGCAAATTTCTAAATGATCTAAACTTCAGTGTCTGTCATGGTAAAATAATGACAAGCCGTTGCTGACTCGTTCTCTGCAGAGAAAGTTCGGAGCTGGAGAATTCTTGTGACCACACGGCCCGCCCCGTCGTCGATCCTTCCGTGTGCAGCGCCACCAGGTCGGCGACACCCGCTGCCCAGGGACCGCCCAACGTCCGACACGGGTCACTTACTTTCCTGTGCAAACACGCCGGAAACAAAGTTTTGACTAAATCTTCCTATTCTTCTTGCACTTCTTCTCTGATGTGCTTTTCGAGATTAAGATGCTCCTCTCCCAAATCCGCGAGGCGGGCTGTCAGAGCCGTGATTTCCACGATCACGTTGTGCCCGAGCTCTGCAGCCCAGCCTCAGAAATGGTTCCTTTCAGCCGAAGATTACTCGGGAATTCAAACGGCCACTACAATGTGCACTTTTACTTTGAACCTAATGAAGACGGTGAGTCTCCTGGTGTGCAGATGTGGGTGGAAGAATCCAGGTTGGTTTAAGGGTCACAGAACAGTGCCGACACACAGTGGGTGCTCAGTAAATGGTGGCTGAATGATGGCCCCAGAAGAGGCACTGAGTAAGCGCTTTTCATTTGGAGAAAATATTTGACTATCTTGGCCTCCATCTCCAAACTTGCCTTCCCTCCACATTTCAGCCCAAACACCTCTTTGGAATTACACTGTAATCAACCTCAAAAGAAAACAAAGAAGCCCCCCTCCCCCAAACCCAAACATAACAACCAAAAGAAAACAAATCAATAAAAATAACAAAAAACACCAAACCAAACAAAAAAGTCCTGAGTTGCTTAACTAGTGAAAGTGCAGGCCTCGCCCTGGCCGGTTTGGCTCAGCGGTTAGAGCGTCAGCCTGCGGTACAGAGAAACCCGGGTTCGGTTCCCGCTAAGGGCATGTACCTCGGTTGCAGTTTATCCCCGGCCCTGGTTGGGTCATGCGGGTGGCAGCCACTCGATGTGTCCCTTTCGCGTCGATGTTTCTCTCTCTCTCTCTCTCCCTCCCACTCTATCTGAACAAAAATGGAAAAATGTCCTCAAGTGAGGATAAAAAAAAAAAAAAAAAAAAGAAAGTGCAGGCCTCGGGTTTCTCTGCAGTGTCCCTTCCCGGGAGGGACTCCCACAGGCCACCGCCCAGGGACACAGGAAAACAACAGAAGTCCCTACTGGGGGGACTGTGGATTTGAGAAATGGGGAAGAGAAACGTTTTAGTAATAACCGACCTACCTGACCTGCATTGTCTTCTGGTGGACTCTGACCGCTTCGTAAAATATCCAGTTCCTGAAGAGAAGAAAGCACACGAAATTCAAACACTTAGCCTCCCATGGCTCAGTTGAGTACAGCACGCCCCAGGCACTTCCTATTTGTCTTCATGGAGCTTCATTTAGATCCTTGGGCCCCGTGTGGAGCCAGGACTGTGCTACAGGAGGCTCAGTCCTGCATCCGAAGACAGGACCCTCTTCCAGATGTCCACTCTGAAGCGGAGGACTCAGCTATGGGGATAGGCCCAACTGGGGGCAAAAGCCAAGACTCATTATTTGATATTTTAAAGCTTCATTTGTTTAGACTTTTGCACTTTTCTTAGGTATACACTAAAATTACACTGAACCTCTGATGTAATCCATTTCAAAAAGTCTGCAATCTAAAACAGAGGAAGTGACCCTTGGATCCCAGCATGGGGTCTCATTTTAAGGAAGTCTCCTCATGAGACCCATGATGTGCACCCGCCTTGAAGACACATTGACTCGAGGACCCTGGCTTCTCTGCTAGACCAGGACCAGCACGAGGTGCCTTGTGTTTGCCGAGGCTGGGAAGGTCAGCGGTGCATCTTCCTGGGGGGTCAGCTCCTCTGTCGCTCACCTTTTACATTCCCCACTAGACACCTCCAGAGCACAGAACCCACTCTTGCTGGGGCCATTACCTTCGAGGCTGAGCATACCAGCCCGAGAAAATGAGCCAGGGAGAAGAGAAATTTGGAGAGTGCCATTCATCCTCCGTTCTTACCTAAGAACACCTCTCCCCCACCTTCTGCTTTACTTTCCTCTTCAGAGTGACTCCTGGGCCTCCCCACCCACACCTTCTCCATTGCAGTTCTGGTCTTTGGGGACATACCTGCTCCTTCTGACGAAGCTTCTGCCTCACATGCTCCGACAGATGCTCATAGCACACGGAGTAGCTCTCAAAGCTGCTGCGTTCTCTGGCCATCACATCACAACCCAGGGAAAGCAGGCAGGCTTCGAGGTGGTCTGTCCTGAAAGTGATCTGAAGAGGGAGGGGCATCAGTCACAGCAGCTCCAGCAGGGCAGCCTCACCACGCCAGACTCGGCACAGGTTGCCTTGGCTCACAGACCCACTTCCATTTCTCCTCCATAGAAAAATGTCAGCTCTAGCCTTGCAAGCCTCTCTCTCAGGTCTGCTCTTAACATGCACAGGACCAAGGACAAGAGTACAGACGGAGCCCTGGCCGGTTTGGCTCAGCGGTTAGAGCATCGGCCTGCGGTCCGGAGAGACCCGGGTTCGGTTCCCGCTAAGGGCATGTACCTCGGTTGCAGTTAGTCCCCGGCCCTGGTTGGTTGTGCAGGTGGCAGCCACTCGATGTGTCCCTTTCACGTCGATGTTTCTCTCTCTCTCTCTCTTCCTCTCTCTCCCTCCCGCTCTATCTGTACAAAAAATGGAAAAATGTCCTCGGGTGAGGATTAAAAAAAAAAAAAAAAAGAGTACAGATGGAGGCCTACCTGCCACATGTCTAAATACTCTGACTATTTAAAGGTTATAAATAAAAATAACACACTATTGAAATTAAAGTGTTTAATTCTCCTACTTTGGAAAATAGACCTTCAAAAATGACTTGGAATGCAAGGTTTTGATTTACCGTTCTTGGGCTACTCTGAGTTCTATGCTGAAATGTGGTGACTTGGGGAGAGATGACCTCCCCCTCGGGTCTCACTGCATACCGTGGAGGGCCCGTGCATGTAGGCAGGTAACCCAGCCGTCCATGCCCTGGACCGCCCCTCAGGCCAGCGAGTACACGCTGCGGTGAGATCCACTCTCCCTCGAGGGAGGATGCCCTGGGGAAGAAGCCCCGGACTCAGGGAATTCCGGGGTCCCTGGCACTTGAGTGTGGTCGAGAAGGAAGTCCAGGAGCTGAGCATACACGTCCCTAACTGTGTGGGTTCTCACTCCGTGGGGAAGGGCGGGGCTGGAGGAAAGCCAGGGGCCTTCGAAGAGGGGTGCACGGCAGGGTCCTCTTCCTCTGGCCGAAGGGCCGTGCTGTTGGCTCTTTGAGCACCCCTTCCTCCCTTTCTCCAAGAGATGGGCACCTTCTGAAGGGGTGGCCCCGGGGAACGGAGGAAATGCCCACCCCTCCGAGGCAGGCTTCCATTTTGGCTCTGGAGAGCAGTGGGAGCCAGTACGGGGGAGGTTGGACAGATCTACCTGACTAGGGCCTGCGTGTCCATGTGAGCGCTTCTGTGTGTCTGTGTGTGTCTGTATCACTGAGCGTGTGTATGTGCGCATTTGTGGATGTCTGAGTGTGTGTGTGTTTCCCTGTGTATGTCTCTATCTGTATAAGTGTCTCTATATGTCTCTATGTGTCAGGTGTGTCCCTTTAGGAGTATCCGTGAGTGTATCTGAGGGTCTTATGGGGCCCTCTAAGACCCAGCCTGAAAGCTTGCATGAACTTTACCTGTGATACGTCCAGGGTCAGGAGGGCTCCAGGCTCACCAGCAGTCTGCTGCAGAAGCCAGGCTGTCCCTCCAGCCTGGGTGGCTCCCCAGCTCTGATTCAATTGTCCGGGCGAGGCCCAGGACACTGTCCTATCAGTGCAACCTCAGTGTCCCCAGTGACCTCCAGAGAAAGCCCAGACAGCTTTACCAAAGCAAGTGACTGAGGCAGAGCAGCAGTGATGGCAAATAGTGACCAAACCAGTAGGGACAGAGGGAGGGAAGCGGCTTCTCACCACTGCCGGGAGGGGAATCCCTGGTATTTTGGAGGGTAGACCAGCAGTATCTCTGAAAAGATTTTTTTTTTTTTTAAATGGCCATGCCCTTTGACCTAATAACCCCTCCTCTAGGAATTTATTTTTAGGAAATAATAAGAATTACACACAAGAATATAGATAAGCAGGTGTTGTTTATAGCAGCCTCTCCAATATAAAAAAATAAGGAGATGGAAACAGTCTAAAGTGCCTAGTAATGGAGAACAGGTGGAATCCGTCTCCCTCATCTGTGCGACGAAACACTACACGGCCACCAAGATCACGCTGCGGACGTATGTTTATTGACAAAGAAACATATGTATAACATAAAGTCAAGGGGGAAAAGTACACTGCCACAAAAGGGCATATAGAATAACCTTATTTTGTTAAAAAAGCACATGAATGAAAAAGTTACAAAGTTTGGAAAGAAATATGCCAAAATAATAATGGTGGTATCAATAAAGGTAAAATTGTGAGTGTATTGTCTAACCCATCATATTCCTGCTTTCTAATACGATAATAAAATGTATATATAATTATACTAATTATATATAAAGTACATACAATTAAATAATATATATGTAATTAAAAGATAATAAAGCTTTTGAAAAACCATCCAGTGTAGCAGCTTGGCAGGATGCGCTCACAACATGCACAATGGAAATAGTGGATGCAAACTCTGCTCGTGGGATTTTACGAGAAGGGAGTCGGGAAAGGCACCCAGCCTCCTGCACTCACTCGAGGGCCTCCTCAAGGGGCCCTTTGTGCAGTGGGGTGGAGGCAATCCATCCTGCCCCTGGACAGTGAGCAGGACGGCAGCCAGAGTTAGCCGCTGACACCAAGGCAAAGGGAACTAAGCTGCCATCCCCTGGACCTTGGCTTCTTGATGGTGAAAGGGCATGGCTCTGTGAATGTAGTAAAGACAAAGGAAACACGTCCTGGACCGCGTAGAGTGAAAGCCTAAGGCCTTGAGACCATATCTGAGGTCAGCAAGGTGTGGCCAGTGACCTGGTCCAGATGAGCTGGGCCCAGTGCTTGGCATCAGCCAGCAGCACCAAGCTCCGGTGTACCAACAGGGCCTCCAACAGCCCTTCAGCAGGGCAAACGCTTCTCAAACTAATGCTGCCATAGCCGCTGCAGATCGAGGATCCCAAATACACAGAAATGCAGACTTGAACCACAGTGGCTCTCTCCCATCCGCTCTTGGCCAGCGTGACATTTTACCCAGCGAGGAAGAGGAACCTGTGAGTGAGTCTGTGTTACACCCAAGAGATGGGAACAGCCAGGACATGCCGTGAGCATCTCCAGAGGCCAGAGAAGTTGTGTTGCTTCCTTCCCTCGGTGGCTCTGCTGAGGCCTCGGAAGGTTGGGCTGAAAGATCAGCTCATGGGAATGGCACGTGGCGGGTGAGTGTGAAGACAGGGAGAGGGGGAAGGGCACAGCCAGAGCATCTGCTGGGGGATGTGGAATGGTGAGCATGTGTCAGGTTGGCGGGCAGGAAGCTGTGACTGACAGGTGACAGGGAGGCCCAGGAAGCTCCTGGCCGTCCCTCTCTCTGGGTGGACTTTGGTTCTGTATGCTGCACACTCGGCCTCCCAGAAGCAGCGTGTGGAGCCACCTGAGCATCAGCTGTTGTGGGACAGCAGCCTATGTGGCTTCTGTTGGCACAATCCTCCTATGAGCTCTCAGAGGAGAGAGGAAGAGAAACATCCATGTGAGATCCATTGGCTGCCTCCTGCATGCTTCCTACTGGGGTGGAGACCGCACCCCAAACATGTGCCCTGACTGAAATGGAACCCGCAACCTTTTGGTGCACAGGACGATGGCCAACCAAAGGAGCCACACAGGCCAGGACATACTTTGTTTCTTAAAGGCTCTTCTTCAACCCACCACTGCCTTCCTTGGTCACTATATGTCATCTCTGTGTCAAAATACTGCAAGAAGGGGCTTTATTGGCCAAATTCCTCTCCAAGGCCAGCCGCTGGGTTCCAGAAAAATCCCAGAGTGAAGACTGTTGGCTCAGTGCCCTCCAGTAAGCTGATGGCTTCACCAACACTTAAACCTGACCCATGACGATGACACTGGCTGGAAGCTTACCAGATTGCCCCATGGATTCTTCTGGAGAGCCAGCGTGAGATCCTCTTATGGCAAAAGTCTGGGAGCAAATTGCTTTTTGTGGTTTGCTTCATCTGAGAGACCCTCATGACAATTTGTCTTACATCAGGCACACACAGGTATTTTGATGATGTTTCTAAAACCCACCTCTGCTGACAAAATGCTTCAGTGAATTCCCACCGACTCTGGAATGAAATCCAAACACCTAAGAATTGCACACAAAGCCAATCAGCTGAGTGACTCTTGGCATATGAATGGAAATGGTTCTGAAATACACAAAATAGACTACAATTGTTCTACTTTGCAATAAAGGTCAGGCCCTAACTTCAGGCCATTGTGTTTGGCATTAAATTTGGTTAAGATGTTAGAATTGCTTGAGAAAGCTGGTTTTCTAGACTCTGGAGAAGGAAGCAGAGATCACTAGAAGTCAACATGGGTTCAAGAAAAGTCAGATCAGATTAACCTCAGGAATTACAGCAGACGCAGTGTCTGGATTTCAGCAGGCGTCTGAGAATGTTTCTCCTGATGTCCTGGGACAAATGGAGAACAGTACAACTGGATGGGCCACCAAAAGACTGCCTAGAGACCCTGGTCAGCCTGGAGGGGACCCAGAGTGGGTGGCACAGGGCTCGAGGCCTGTCCTGTCACACACTGTTATTAATGACTTGAATGAGGGCAGGCAGGGAGAGAGAGTATGCTGGATGATAAAAATCCAGATTTTTAAAGATTTCAAAAGGTTCAAAGTGAACACGGACAAGGCCAGTCACATGGCAGCTGCAGGATGCCTAAGGCAACGTGTGGACTTCAGGTGACTGTTAGCCTAATGAGTCAGCCTCGAAGTGGCTGCCAAAACAACACACACGGGCGTTAATCAAGCACAACCCCCAGGTCAAGGGCACTCTCCACTGGTCAGATGACCTTGAATTTGGAGGAGACTGATCAGGCTGGAGGAGGTGCTCATGTAAGTGATGGAGGAGAAGGCTGGGTGCAGGTCCTCCACGTACTATGCTCATGCAGTCTGGGCTCTGCACAGAGGCACCCAGGTGAGGGGGAGCCCGGCTCCCGCTCCATTTTCCAGCTCATATGCCCTGGCCCTGGGCCGCAACCTTCTGGAGGAAGGGCTAATGGACTGTAATCCACCACCTGTCTGGGTTCGCCCTCCTAGAGTGGGCCCTTGGTTGTAAATTTATGGAGGCTTCGCACATGTTAGCAATGGTGCTAATTAAGCTCCTCTGACTGACCTACCTGCCCTCAGATGGCTAACGGCTCGTTGGGAGGGGTCGGCAGCACGATCTGTGGTGTCCCAGGGACAGAACAGGATCCACGGTGGAGATGGGGAGGAGGCCACACCCAGCTCAGTGAGAGCTGCCTGGACCGACAACCACCAGGAGTGGGGGAGGGGCTTGGAAGAGTGAGTCCCTGTCACTGCAGAGGATCCAGAAGAGGCTGGAAGCCCACCAGGCACAGACTTTGCAGGGATCTAGCATTCCGGGGTCCTGTTATTCCAAGACACCGGCAGGCAGATACCAGTCTCTTCGGTGTACCCTGAGTTTCAGTTGTGTCTGATATGGGTTTGCCCTCTCTCCTAATAGATACCCACACTTCTTTCCTAAGAGCCTTTCTTCAGTGTTGGGGTGACGTATATAGACAGGGGATGAGCAGATCTTGAGTCACAAGCTTCATTTTTATTGTGGTAAAATGCACATAACGTAAAATTTGCCATTTCAGCCATTTTTAAGTATATGGTTCAGTGATATTAAGTACACTCACACTGTTGTGCAATCAATCTCTAGAACACTTTACCTTGCAGAACTGAAACTCTGTACCTACTGAACACTAACTCCCTCTTTCTCCTCCCCCAGCTGCTGACAACCACTGTTCTGTTCCTGTCCGTGACTCTGACTACTCTCCAATGCCCCCTATAAGCAGAATCATGCAGCGTTTGTGCTTATGTGACTGGCTTGTTTCACTTAGCATGTCTTCAAGGTTCATCATGATGAAGTAGCTGTCAGAATTTTCTTCCTTTCTAAAGATTTTTGAAAATATTTTTATTGATTTTTAGAGAGAAAGGTAGGGAGAGGGAGAGAGAGAGAAACATCTATGTGACAGCAAGACATCAGTCGGCTGCCTCCCGCACGCCCCTTACCAGAGACTGAACCCACAGCCCAGGCACGTGCTCTGACCAGGAATCCAAGGGCACTGCCCAGCCAACTGAGCCACACCCGCCAGGGCAGCCACAAACTGTTTGACTTAAACATTTTTCTGAGCCCCACCCTAATCATCTCTGTGCCTCTGCTGGAGAACCTCTGAGCTGCAAGGACCCAAAAGGAACACTTCTCCCCTCATCAGAATACATAGTATCACATTTGGGTATAATTGAAAGCTGGAAGCAAATACGTATAAATCATCAAGTTCTGAGGCAACCAAGTTGTGAATTCCCTATCTCATGATTAAGAACTGGAGAGATTATAAAATTATGGGGAATATTTGAAGAGCTTAAAAAATGTGATTTTGGAGAAAACAGTGTCATGTAAAAATTGAGTACATTTTATTAAGTCGGGTTTTTAAAAAAATGGTTGAATTTCAAAGGAAACTGGATTCATGTCTACCTAATGTACTTGTGTTTACTTCGTTAACGATCCTAGAAATTCTGTTAAGGCTAAATACCCACATAGACTCCTGACTTTTTGGTGAATTCTTTTGATTTAGAAAGGCACTTGCTGTCAAGAAGAAAGGGTTCAAAACTCCATGAACTGTGTGCATGTGTGTTGTACGTATTAAATATATACTATATAGAGTTGTTATGGACTCAGATATGTATACACAGGAAAAGTTGTGGACACCTGTTTCTTTGCAGAGAGGAAATGGGATGGTGGCGAGGAGGAGGGATACTAATGTTACCTTTCTGGGCTGGTTCCTTTTTTTGCTTTTTGTTTTCCACATTGGACATTTTAAAAATATTTTCTAGTGGTATTATAGGCTATTTTGGTTTCTTTCTAATGTAGCTATTGACTCATTCATAAACAAACCCCAAGGTTACTTTTTAAAAATTGGACAATCTGAAATTAGCCAACATGCACATTCTAATTTCTCTCCCATCTTTATTAGAAATCAGACTTTTTCCAAAATTAGAAGAGTAACAAGTGAGCCAGGCTGGTGTGGCTCAGTGGACTGGACGTCCTCCCATGGACTGAGAGGTCCCAGTTGGATTCCCTGTTGGGGCACATGCCTGGGCTGTGGGCTTGATCCCCAGTAGGGGGTGTGCAGGAGGCAGCTGATTAATGTTTCTCTCTCACATTGATGTTTCTCTCTCTCCCTTCCTCTCTGTCTAAAAAAATTAATTAAAAAACCAAACAAACAAAAAGGTAACAAGTGATTACTACTTTGAGTTCAGGCTCAGTATTCATATCTTTGTTCTAAGGCAGTAAGGGAAGCATTGGGAGATATGTTTAGGGAAATGATTTTCAACCTTTTTCATTTCATGGCACACAAAAACTAATTACTAAAAAATAATTACACCAAAAAATACATTCTATTTTATGCTGATTTGATAAAAAAAATAAGTATAATTTTGATTCATTCACACTGGATGGCTCTTGTTGTGTTGGCTGTTGTCATTTTTTTATGTGACAGTCTAAGGGAAAAGAGGTAAGTGCCCCTGACTAAATAGTCTGGTACTGCATGTTTTAAAAATTCTTGTGGCATACTGTTTAAAAATCGCTGGTTCAGGGGAAAGTCTTCCTTGTTTGGATTTATGTTAAAACACACACACACACACACACACACATTACAGAAGGACTCATTTTCAATACATACCTCTAATCTACCATCCTGGTAATTCTCCATTAATCTCTGCATAAAATTTTCAACTATTTGTGGTTTGATAAGTGAAAAGTTTTCTTTCATGACTTAGTGTTTCCAAAGGTCTAGGGGAAGAAAAACACCAGCACTAGCATCGTGAAACACTGAACAACCGGCCATTAATGACTACGAAATGGCAACTCTCTGAGGGGTGGGGGAGGGGAGGGAGGGACGGGGAGGAGGTGGTTCAGGACACAGGATGTTTCAGAACTTGGGAATGAGGAAGATAGCTAACAAGATTCCTAATGAAAAGATTTGGAAAAGCACCTCTAAAGACAGTCAACAATACTTCTACCATAACTAAAAATCCTGAATCAAGTGTTATTGATTCTGCATGACATCTATTTTCATTAAGTGCCTATATGTATCTGAACAATTATTTTGGCCTAACACAATTATCAGAAATAAACGAAGAACTATTATATGTATCTGCTTCAGTACATTTCTAGTGTTACAGGCAAAATTGATTTAAACATAGAGCTAATAAAAAAATGGGAGGACATCCAAAAGAGAGAGAAAAGAGTCACAGATTAGAAATGTTGAGAGCGGACAGACTATAAACTTTAGCTCCTGGATTGATGATACAATAGGACTGACACTTAGGGGATGAGGCATATACACAGTTACTCAGAATAGCATTGTTTAGGACAGCAAAAGCTTGGAAACAACACCTAAACTGTTATATATATATCTCCTCCCAGTGTAATAGTATACAGCTTTGAAAAAGAGAGGACCTTCTCCATGTACTGATATGAAAAGAGTCATTGATTGTCAAGTGAAAAATTCAAATTGCAGAACCATGGATATAAAATGTTATCTTTTATAAGAAAGATACATATAATAAAACAGGAAGATATCTCCTCAAGCCTATTCAACATCATTGTTCCAAAAATTTGGCATTCTCCAATGTCATCACTTCTCCCCTTTTTCCTGGACCATTCAAAATAGCACATATCATTTATCCCACTTCATAAAAATCCTTCGGTGGATCCCATGTCCCCTGTCAGCTATTGCCTCATTTCTTTGCTCCCTTTTTAGTGAAACTCTCAGAAGGAGATTTCTACCCTTTACTGTGTGACTTCTCTCAAAATCCTTCTTAAACTCACTCACCCAGCTTACACCTGCACCACTCCAATGAAACTGATTTTGTCATAAACACCAACATAACACCAACACCACCATGTGACTGCAACATGGCTAAAACCAGTGGTTTCACTTGACTACCAGCAACATTTCACACAATTTGTCACTTCCTTGTGGTTGAGAAACTTCCATCGCTAGACACCGGGACACCACTGTGACCTACTTTTCCTCTACCTCACTGTTCCTTCTAGATTCCTGTTACTGGTTCCCCTTTTCCCCTCCTCATCCCCAGCTCTTGACATCAGGGTATCCTAGGACTCAGCCCTTGGTCCCCCCCCTTTTTCTACCTATACTCACTCCCTTGGCTGTCTCATGTCGTCTCACGCTAATAACATCCATGTGCTGACAACCCTCAAATTTAGATCTCATACCCACTTGGCATCTCTCCTTAGATGTCTAGTGTCACTTCAAATGTCACTTGTACATAATTAAATTCCTGATCTTTCCTCTCCAGCTTGTCATCTCAGTTGATGGCAATTCTATTGTCCCAATAGCTCAGGTTAACCATCGTGGAGTTATAATGGATTCTTCTCTTTCTTCCATACTCAATACTCAACTCATTAGTGACTACTTCAAAAATATACCCAGAATCTGACCACTCAATAGTTCCACAGCTCCCAACTTTGTTTGAGCCACCTGGCTTGGATTATTGCAATAGCCTCTGCCTTATTCCACCCTTTCTTTCTTCTCTGTCCCTTCTTAACAAAGCAGCCAGAGAGATTCTATTAAAATATAAGTCAGATCATGTCACTCAAAACCTTGGACAAGCTCTCATTACCTTCACTGTGAACACGGAAGTCCTTGCAAGGCCTTGAGTGATCCGTTTTCCATTCGCTCTTCCTCTCTGACTCCATCCCCACTGCTCTCTCTCACTCTCCACTCCAACCACACTCGAGTCTTCGCTGTCCCATAACCATGGCAGGCACCCTCCGCGTAGGGACCCACGCGGGCTGCGGTTCGGTCCCAATGCTCTTCCTCAAGGTACCCATCTGGCTCCCTCGCCTTGTTCAAACTTTTCTCAAAACATCACTTTCTCAGTGAAGTCTATTCTGACCACCCTGTTTAAAATTGCTATGTGCTCCCGTCAAACCTCACAGCACCGTCCTCCTTACTCCCATTATCTTCTTATTTCTTATGTTTATTGCTCATTGTCTGTCTACCCCCTTCTAGACGATAAACTCCATGAGGGTAAGGAGTTTTTGCTCTATAACAGTGAGCATGCATCCCTGAAACAGTGCCTAAAACATAGAGGCCTAGCACATAGTATGTGCTCAGTAAACAGGTATTGAAAGAAGGAACAAATTAGTATATGCATAAAAAAGCCCTGAAAAGATATATTAAAAATTAATTAAAAGTGGTTACGTAGGGGATGGTAGAGGAGGGTCAGTGGTGGCAACAAGACTTCTCAGTATATAGTTTTAATATCATTTTGAGCTTTAAACCAGGTTAAACAAATAAAATCAAATTAAAAAATAATATGACAATGCTAGAACCATAAGTGTGTCAACACTCCTGGCATGTGGAGGAGCAAAAGCACCTGTGTGTGCTGGTCACTAAGTAGGGCCACTTCCTTGTGCATGGCCCCGGGGTGTCTTAAACAAAGAGAGACGTACGGAGTCAGGGGCAGGAGCCAAGCCCCATCCTGCTCCCTTTTCTTTCTTTAAAAAAATTTTTTTTTTCTTTATTGATTTTAGAGAGACAGGAAGGGAGAGGGAGGGAGAGAGAGAACATCGATTGGCCGCCTCCTGCATGGCCCCCACTGGGGATCGGGCCCACAACCTGGGCCTGTGACCAGTCCGAGAATTGAACCGGCGACCTCTTGGTGCATGGGTTGTCACTCAACCGCTGAGCCACACCGGCCGGCCCACTCCCTTTTCCATGGGGTCGCTGGCCATCAGCAAGAGCAAGCACAGGGCTGCTCCTTGCCCCCAGCTCTTTCTGGTCTCAGATGAGACTGCTGATTCACACTTTCATTTTTCGGACAGGAGACTCAGTGCACCGAAGATGAAGTATCCAGCATGATCTTCCCAGAAATGGGGGTCTGACAGAGTAGGAGCCTTTGGTATTGGCAGTTATTATGTTATTTATTGGAGGATGGGGTCCTGTTTTTGAAAATGGAGTCCACATTTCTTCTACAATTGTCTACTTTCCATCATAAACAAATGAATCTGATTTTGCTTTTCCTTTAGGACAGTTAAAACAAATAGACGTATCTTCTCTCCACTGTCCTGGCACAACTGAAGTGGAAAATCCAAGATTAATATGCCTAGAAGTTCACACTTCTGAAGATGTTTAAGACTGTTACAAAGCTAAGCTGTGACAAGACAGAGCACATGTATATTTCAGATAAGAAATTGGAGACTTTTCCCAGGACAGTTTAGGGGCAGGTCTCTGGCTCAGAGAGGCCCAGGGAGGGACCTCATCCTTCACATGCTTCCTGTATAGGGCACCTCACCTGCCAAATACCCTCAGAACTGTGGGAGGAAAGAGAGGGGCATCTGTAATATTTTCAACAATAAAAATCTTTAAAAAACAAAGCAAAACAAATACCCACAAAACTGGTTTAGGGTTTAGCCCTGGGCTTAGCTGGAGGGGAAGTGTTTTACCTACAGGCTGGGAAATCTTCCCAGCATCTTCCTACTCATGAGTTCAGGCTCAGACATGCATCTGATCTGCAGGCAGGAGTCAGGGGAAGCCAGGGAGAGTACAGTTCATCCAGGAGAAGTACTTCCTGGCCAAGTGGAGCTGGCCGTGTCTACATGTGTCTCATTTTCAGTATGCGTGTGGTCATGGCTTCTTCAAGATGAAGCAGTTTTTGACAGAAGCATGGCGGGAGATGGGAGACAGCACACTGGGGGCTAAGTTAGGGTTTTGTTCTTTCCTCTCAGTCTGTTCCCACGTCCTTCATCCTTCGACTGGAGGAAACTTTGAATTCCCGGTGCTCAAACCACTTTCCCTCACTCCCTCTCTGAACACAACCGCCACCCCCATGTGGCTTCCTCCCTCTAGGAAGGGCCTCGTCATTTGCTGGCATTTCACTTCCCTAACACGACCACCAGCCCTCTGCCCGTGGCCCCAGGTCCTGAGCCAAGGCAGAACTGAAACCAAAAGGCATATGACTGCCAATTAAAGTTGTTTTCCCAACCAGGCAAGGGGGTCCCCCCAAATGTGGGCAGGTTGAAGACCTTGCACATGTGTGCATTTTGTACTCCTGTGTTTCTCACACTGCTCCCCAGAACTCTAGTTCCTTGAGTGGACAGTACATGTTCCCGAGGGGAGAAAAGGGTTCAGTGGTCTAATAAAGGGAAAGAACATTTCCTACTCCAGCTCTGTCCTGGAGACGGATAGCTTACAGTAGGCCAGTAAAGTCTCGAAGAAGGTCTGGAGAAAAGAAATCTTTTAAACATTACTTACTCCATATTTCCCAAACTTATTTTGACACAAAACAAACAAAACCTTTTTCTCTCAACTCCTGCAAAATATGGTGGAAATCCTCTTATCGAAAGCAATTTAGCCTCAGAGTCGATTGGTCAATCAAAAGAAGTCTGTTAAACTAGGGAACGCTTAAAAAAGTGACTTGCGCTGTCTTAAACATTTTATTTCACTTAAAAATATACAAACATTTGCCAATCTTTTAACATACAGCCTCGGCCCCTTCTTTGTATGTACCCATTCATTGGAGTTCTGTACCATAATATATGCACACGGTCAACAATCTCTAGTGTTCTTTTTTGGGGGGTTTGCTTCTTTTCTTTTATGGAGAGAAAACTTAAAGTCCATCAAACAATCCAAGTGCATCAGTTTTAAAAGAGATGTTTTAGGTTCACAGGAAAACTGAGCAGACAGTAAAGAGAGTTCCCATATATCTCCTGCCCCCCCCCCCCCCCAGCTTCCCTCAATATCAACATCCCTCATCATCTGTGGCAACTGATGAACCACACTGACATATCATTCTCATCCAAAGCTCATAGTTGACACCACGGTTCCAAAATGGTGGGTTTGACAAATGTATAATGACCTGTATGCACCACTGTAGTGTCGTACAGAGTAGTTTCAAGGCTCTGAAAACCCTCTGGGCTCTGCCTATTTACCCTTCTCTCCTCTCTAAACCCCTGGCCACCACGAATCTTTCTATGTCTCCACTGTTTTGCCTTTTCTCAAATGCCATATAGTTGGAATCATACAGTATGGAGCTTTCTCAGGTTGGCTTCGTTCACTTAGATATATGCATTTAAATTTCTCCATGTCTTGATAGCTCCTTTCCTTTTAGCGTTGAATACTATTCCATTGACTAGAGGCACCATCTTGATCCATATCAACCTAATTTTTATAGTACAGACCTCTCTCTTTTTGTACTCCTGTTTTGTTGGTTTACAACATAACACGGAATTACATTACTCAATCACAATGACATACACGGGTCCAGAGCAAACAATGATCAGCGATGCTGGGTGGACATAGGCAGCCCCCAACTGTGATTGGGGAGTACCTGGCCTGCTGTGTCACCGAGGGAATGGAAAGTACAGGCAGTGCACGAGTCTGCCGGTGGAGGCTGGTGGGGAGTCCTTCTGCGCTCACACGGAGGAGCTGGTGTCCCAGGGCATACTGCTGGGCACACGCCGGCCCGACCACGCTCTCCCAAGTATTTTGATTGTGCTTCCCTCAAGTGAAATTTTTATTCACTCACCTTTAACACGTGGACGTTTGCATTTGTAACTACCTACAACACAATCCCTGGCTAACACTGCAAGGCATGATGGACTTAGGGTGAGGTCTATCAGCAGGGAGAGTGGATCTCCGTCCGCAGTCCCGTAGTTCCCTTGACCTTTTAAGTCTCTGGTCTGACTTCTCAGATGTGATTAGGTTTTTAAAACCTCATACTATGGCTGACGATAAGCAGGTACCAGGATTACAGAGTCACCTCTACTATTTCTACAGATTCACCTGTGGGCTGCCTCCCCACGGCGGCTTTGGGGTGCCTCCCTGTGCCGCGAGCCGTGGCTTAGACGCTCTGATCCTTCTCCCCACAGCCCTGGAATATATGTGCTCTACTTTGCAGACTGCTAGCCTCATAACCGCTCAGAGAAGTTTAGAAAACCAATAAAAAACGGCTCCAATGCCCAAATGTTAAAGACGGAGAGGGCAGAGCCTGTCCGCGTCAGCGGCCCGTCTCCCCGCGAAGGTGGACCCTGAGGCCGGAGGGTTCTCGGGGGAGCATCAGATCAGCTCCCAGGAACCAGCACCAGAGCGGGTGTGGCTGCCCCAGCCCAGGGCACTGACAAGCTGAAACCCCCCTCGGAAGCTGTGCGGGAGGTGAAGCTCCCCGCCGGCGGGGGGCAGGGGACAGGGAAGGGCCAGGGGTTCCTTTCCCCCAGGTCCAGGTGGAGACACTGCAGTCCGCCAGCAGGGAGAGAGGGGACCCCAAGGGAAGGACGGGAGCTTGCGAGGTCCCCTGGTGTCAGTCTCCATTCTCACCTCCCTCTGGAGAACCCCCTAGCCCAGGCGGACCTTGACCGCACAGGGGTTCTCGCATGAGGAGGCGGCTCTTGGTGGGAGCCCATCCACGGTGGCTGCTGCTTGTTGCTGAGATGAGTGGGAGGTGGTTTTATCAACTTCTTCGAAGGCACGCAGCCCACAGAGGTCTCGGGAAGACTACACTGAAGAACAGTATCCCCCACCAGGCAGTGGGGGAAGCCAGTACAGGAGGAGAACCAGGCCTCCACATTAAGTAATGCTGAACAGACCAAAACCAAAACCAAAACCAAAACCTCCTTACCACTGGCATTTATTTTAAAAGCTTCAGGAGTACAGAATCTGAACAAGAGTTTAGAATTGGCCAGTATATGCCAGCCAAAGTAAGGTTTGGGAATATCAACCTTAGCACCATTACAATAACCCTCCCCCTCCCCCTGCCTGCCCCCGGGCCTCACCGAAGGCCCTTTGCAAGCACAGCTGGGCAGTACGCACAGCACAGGGCGGGCGGGCGCCCACAGCCCACCCCCAGCCGCAGAGCAGTCACTTCCTCCCGAAGGGCCACAGCCCTGCGAGGTGCAGATGGTTGCACCTGCTGTGTACTTGTGGATTTTTCTCCCAGGGAGCCACCTGGAAGCAGCCGATGCAGCATAAACAACAGGCACTTTGTGTCTTGTTAAATGTTCTGTAATTGGAGCTCAACCACAATCAGCTCTGGTGACAGAGACGCCAGGGGGTGTGGCTTGCCCTTCCACTGCACAGCCTTTTCCCAGAGCCTTGTTTACAGAATTCAGTTGCTTGAAGCTCTGATTAAATGACAAGGGCTTAGGTGAGGACAGAGGTTATTCATAAACATTACAAGGTCTGTGGACGCTGCCACAACAGAAAACCCTGATTTATTTTGCTAGGCAGGAAACTCCTCTGTCGCTCAAAGGGTGTGGGTTTTCCTACAGAATTAGTCGGAGTTAGGAGCAGATACTGCAGTTCAAAAAGCAGAGAAAAAGTACGATTATAAGTACCAAAGAATAGACTTTCCCTTTCTTCTGCAGTCTCTCTCTTGAGAGACTGTCATGGTCGTCGTCGTCGTCGTCTTCTTCTTCTTCTTCTCCTCCTCCTCCTCCTCCTCCTCCTCCTCCTCCTCCTCCTCCTCCTCCCCCGAGGACATTTTTGCATTTTTTGTTCGGATAGAGTGGGAGGGAGAGAGAGGGAGAGAGAGGGAGAGAGAGAGAGAGAAACATCAACATGAAAGAGACACATCGAGTGGCCGCCACCCTCACGACCCAACCAAGACCGGGGACAAACCGCAACCGAGGTACATGCCCTTAGCGGGAACCGAACCCGGGTCTCTCCGGACCGCAGGCCAATGCTCTAACCACTGAGTAAAACCGGCCCGGGCTTCTTCTTCTTCTTATTTTTAATCCTCACCTGAGGATATTTTTCCATTTATCTTCAGATAGAGTGGGGCGGGGGGAGAGAAACATCAATGTAAGAGAGACACATCAATTGGTTGCCTCCTGCACAACCCCAACCAGGGCCAGGGATTGAACTGCAACCCAGGCACGTGCCCTTGACCTGAATCAAACCCGCGACTCTTTGGTCCATGGGTCAAAGCTCTAACTGCTGAGCCAAACTGGTCAGGGCCTTATTTGTTTTTAACCTTGCACACCCAGGCATGGGAACGCTTGCAGGGCAAGTTCTACCCTCATGGGACCCAGGGACTCCGCCCTGGGACTGGTGCCTGAGTGCACATGGTCCACCAGGGACAGGACTGAGGTCTCGAGGCCTGGCCAGGGGAAGAGAAGTTGAGCCAGGCATGTGCCCTTCCCACAGGCCCACTGCCCCAACCCGCTATAGATAGGCAACCCCAACGGTATTCCAACTTCTGTCCTGGGATATTTTAGGTACCCAGGGATAGCAACAGGCTTGTCCCCACTGAGTCACCTATCAAACACACTAGGGTCCTGTCAGCCTGGGATCCCTTAGACATCGCCAGGTGTACATACACACCCTAACCTGGCCCTCACCAGCCTCAGGCCCCCACTGGGGTGGAGGGCCACAGCAATTGCTGAGTGGGTCAGTGAGGGGAAGTCTGGGGGTGCCCTGGGTGACAGAGAGCAGAGGAACAGGCAGCTGAGAACCCCCTGGCAAGCTGGGGAGGCAGCAGGAGGTGGGACTGAATGTGAGTCACAGTTCCAAGCCGTTGGTGCTCCATCGACTCACTGGGATTCCACTTACAAACAAGAAATTCTAAGTTAAAATTAGGAGTTTCAAGATGTCACCTGAAGAGCATTAAACTCCAAGTGCCCCTGAGTCCTGTGTGAGTGCCCTGGTCATATGGCCATGAAGTGACCCTGGCTTTATCTTATTTTATTTTTTTTAAATTCTCACCCAAAGATTTTTTTAAATGGATTTTTTAGAGAGAGAGGAAGGGAGAGAGAGAGAGAAACATCAATGTGTGAGAGAAACATCGATCAGTTACCTCCTGTACCACCTGGACTGGGGATCGAACCCACAACCTAGGTATGTGTCCTGACTGGAAATTGAACCCCACCTTTTGGAACCACCTGGTCAGGGTAAAGTGACCCTGGCTTTAGACCTCAGATGAAAGGAAACAGTTTTGATTGACTTTCCACCCCAAATGTATGCGCTTGTAACATTTTAACATATGTATGTCATGTGTGTGTGATATATGCCTGTATATATGGAGTCAGAAAAGCTTTAAGGGTTCACTCATTTCACATTATTTCAGTTACAAGTTAACAAGCAGAGCTGAGTGAAGCTAACACATGTTTTCTAATTGTATATTTATTTATTTATTTTAAAATTTAATTTGTTACAATTGACATACAATAAGTGTTTTCTATTTAAAAGCCCTTTAAGTGGAAGGAAATTCATCAGAGTGTTAATAGTACTTCTTTCTGGGTCAAGATGTTAGAAAGTAATTTTTACATCATTTTCTGGGCATTATAGAATTTTTTATCCTGACTATAGACATGATTGCTTTTATAATTAGGAAAGAACAGTAAATGTTATTTTGTGAGATAATAATAATTTACCTGTGGGGAGAGTACGCTGCTCCTTGGATTTTTCTGACACAGTGTTATCTCTCTGTTAACTTTTCTTAATAATTCCTGGATCATATGACTTTCAGGGTTTTCCAGAAGTGCCTGAAGCTAGAGTAAGCAGTTTGAGAACCAGTCTCCACATTTAGTTTATACTCTGGGCTTCTAAGTCAAACTCCTGCCGAAGGGCCTTGGGCTGGTCTCCTTCAGCCGCTCTCTCCCAGGAAGGAGGAGGGTTGCTGCCTTGGGCTCCCCACTGCTTCTGCAGTGGAAGGTACACCTCTTTGTACCTAACAGCTTTTCTTCCTAGCCTACATTCTGACTAATAAAATACAAGCCTTTTTGCCAGGTTCTGTTAAATTGCAAAGTGCTCGATATCCGCGGTGACCTCCATGCTTTGGAGTCTCTAAACATGGCCAGGAATATTGTGATCTGTTATTCCACGAGAAGCCCTCGGGTCTGAAACTTGATTTAGATACCAAGGAGGATTTCACGAGATTTAAAAATCCTTATGTGACCAAGAGAAAACTGTTCCAATAACCATGAACCTTACTTTATACATGAAGCTTGCAGAGCACACCTTGCTTGGGACTGGTGTGTGTGTGTGTGTGTGTGTGTGTGTGTGTGCGCGCGCGCGCGTGTGCGTGTGTTGCGGGGAGTGGGGTGCTGAATTCTCCTTGATGCTCAGTAGACGCACATCTGGGCATTGACACCCAAACAGCTCATTGTAACAGATGAGCACAGCTACACGAAATCTGTGTCCCAGGACCAAAGTGAACAAACACTTGAGAAAACCACCCCTCCACATAGATCTTCTAACTCACCAAACGGGCTGTGTGTAAGTGTGTTGTCTCATTCTCAGAAAAACAATCACAGGAGCTATTTCAAATATTCCATTTCCATGGATGTGTATATTGGGGGCGTGCGGGGTGGGGGGATTACCTGTGTGCTGGATTTTATGTTTAAGATGCTAGAGGTTATATTTTCTATTGTCATTTTTTTTGTGTGTGCTGGTACACCTTAATTTGGGGAAATTAAAATATGAAAATCTAGACTTATAGCTCAAAGACATTAAGTGGTAGTTATTTGCTTATTCAAAGCCCCACATGTCTTTAAATACTTAGTTCCCTCTGAGCCTGTTCAATGATTTACAAACCTTCAATTTAGACTTCACTTCTTAGAAAAAACAAATAAAACACCACTGGGATATATCTGTTAATGTCATATAGTGAAATTTCAAAGCCAAATTCAAAACGGCTCCTGAATACCTGCTGAGTCTTTATTTCAATTTCTGAAGCTCCTTCTGGGGGGAGAATAGACGGACTAATTACTACACATTCTTCAAATTTGTCTTCTTTCTCCGTCCTCCTAGCTATAGCTTTCATGCTGGGGTACAGAATGCCAATTCTATTACAGAATAGAGATAGAAGTTACAAAGAAACATATTTTTTTCTCATTCAGATTCTCTGACAATTATTTTCATTCATGTTCTGTTTCCTGTCATCCTGTGTACACCTCCCAGCCCATCACAGACACTCACATCAATGTGGAAATTCACCACGGTTGCTACTCCCTTAGTCGGTGTAAATCCCAATGCTTTTTCCCACTGGGTACATTAAATTTCAGTCTTCATTTTTCAAAACATTGACAAGTCCTCTCATTTCCTAGTAACCAGGGAAGCTGACTGTTAATGACTCATAGATGCGCATTCAGACTTCCCCACCAAAGGGAACCTTCCTGCGCTCAGCGTGGTCCAGGGAGTGGATGCTTAGTGAGTGAGTGCTCACTTGGTGACAGACTCATGGCAGAAGCAGGTGTCTTTTCTGCCAGCTAAGTCATCCCAGCTGGGGCTTGAGGCTGGGAAAACACCCATCATCCACAGACCTGGTCCTACTGCTCTACCATATTATATCTCTGGCTGCAGCACAGGAAGCTCTCGGGCACTCAGTACATGGGTCTAATGGGGCGGAGAGGGGAGGAATTCACAGCAGCAGCAGCATCTCTCCACCCAGCGCTCGCTGGAATCCTATGAGCTAAAAAGCTTAGAGGCAGCACTGCAGCCCCACTTTAGAAACCCAAGTTCCCAGGGACAGAACTCAGGGTAAATGATACAGTGTTGCCTAGTGGGATCCAGGGCTGTCCCTGCAGTCAACAGAACCCAGCTTCTCCTGTAGAGCACTGTTTGCAGAGGTACACTGCCCAGCTTCCTTGGACTCAGTGGGGCTGGCCATCCCGGGATTCAAAGAGCAAATCTCACCCTCAGGGCACGGGGCTGGGATGAGCCCACCCGCAGGTGCACAGGAATTGGCACCCCAGCAACACTCACTCATAGAGACCCGAGAACTGTGTGCGGGGGAGACAGATGGACGTCCCCCCTGCTCCTTCCGCACCTCCAGCTGCTTCCACAGCGCCAGGAAGGATCCCAGCAGAGCGAGGGACATCACTGCATCGCACGGGCCTCCCAGAGGCTTGGGCGCCTTGGCTGCTCTGGAACTGACTTCTGGTCCCTGGCGCTCGGGACAAGTCTGGCTGAAAGTGTTATAGAAATTCTTCCTTTCTGATCATGGACCAAGACAGGATAAGCTTTTAACAGCAGCCCTTGCTGAATGAAGTCTTTGGAGAATACCTTCTCCCAGGAGGAGAGGCTTACAGACCTGCCACACACGTAGGGCTGGGAGAGGGAAAGCATCCCTCCCAACAGACGCAGAGAAGGCTTCCATTTCGGCTTTCTGCCTGAGTCCTGAACCATTCATTCGTACACCTTTGTACCTGGGTCCTAGCATTTCATCTCCCTTTGAGAAATTAAGCCTTTCGTGTTTAGCCTTCGCCTTCTAGAAAGTGTCCTTGAACACACTTGAGATTTAACTCCCCATATGGTAGAGCGATAGTATAGCCCTAATTGGGGTTTTACCCATTGTGTGGGTGAGGAGATGGGAAACGTAAATTGATCTTACCCCCTGTTCCTTTTATCACCCTCTGAAAGTTAGGCAGAGAACATGTCTCTTAATTGGAATCTATTATTCAACAGTCAATTTTACTTTAAAATTATGATTTGAACATTCGTTTGTTGGTGTTTTTCTTAAATAAATGTTTGTTGAGGGTCTGCTCTGAGCCACGGGGAGTGGAGAGGGAAACAGGGTTCAGGTCCCTGCTCTCCCGTAGCCAGTGGTATGAGGGCCAGTCACCCAGAGAATGACGGACAGACGGGACCAATCCCAGGCCCTCAGTCTGACAGCGGCGTCACAGTCACAGGAAAGTGAACTTTCCTTTGCAGACAAGAACAGCAAATCTGATCACGATGTTTTGACAAGAAAGGTCTCAGAGGCCAATCCGCAGGCTTAGCCGCTGAGGTTCCTGGGTAGGCCCTGGAAGATGCACCACCTGGTGCGACTGGATCCTAGACCAGTGCTATCGGCATATTTGCAGAAAGGCATGGCTGCCAGAGGGTTGGTCGGCGGGACAGTTCGCAAGCAAGACCCAGGGGACAGTGAGTTCCTGAAGACAGCTGGCAAACCCTCAACCTCAGAGCCTGCTTCCTCAAAAATCAGCTAATCCACGCATTTCCAGATTTATTTTATCTTCAGAAAACTTTTGCCCCATGAAATCTTACCCAGTGGCCCCAAATACCCAACAGACCAGGGCCAAGCATGGTGCCGGGAGGTGGCAACCTGCAGGTCGCATTGTTGGCCCCTCTACTCAGAAATCCCGAAAGTGCCTCTGAGGAACCCAGGACTCCTGGGACCACAGTGTGAAAGGCCCTGAGCTAACCCATCGCTTTCACTCTGGAGTTTTAGAGACTGAGGTCTAAGAGAGCACAGAACTGGTGTAGCAGAAACAGGAAACCCAGAGTTGCATCTCTTGTGTTTCCTACTGTCTATGAATAAACATTTTTTTTTCTTTATTGGTTTTCGAGAGAGAGGAAGGAAGAGGGAGAGAGAGAGAGATAGAAACATCGATGAGAGAGAACATCGATTGGCCGCCTCCTGCATGCCCCCGACTGGGGATGTGGCCCACAACCTGGGCATGTGTCCTGACTGGGAATCAAACTGGTGACCTCTTGGTGCATGGGTCGATGCTCAACCACTGAGCCACACAGGCTGGGCAGTAAACAATAATCTTAAAGCAAACTTACCTTGTTAATATAGAGCTGACACCTGAACAGCATGGGGGTAGGGGCGCCTACCCCGCGCAGGCTAAGTTGAATCTGAGATGGGAATCCGGGGATATAGAGGACCAACTCTATAGTTAGTGAAAAAACCCATGTGTAAGTGGACCCATGCATTTTCAAACCGGTGTTTTGCAGGGGTCAACTGTATTCATATTAAGAGAAGTATTTTCTTCCTAAGTGTTTTAAAAGATGGGAAAAGGAAGAGGAGACAGAATAAAGAACAAGGTGGCGGAGGTGGGGATGTCAGGGAATGATGGAAATCCCTCAGAAACAGGGCTAACGATGGTAAAGAGAAGGACCAAAGGACCCAGCATGCTTCTTGATCCTGGCACTACTCAGTCTATGTACACCCAGCTTTGCAAATGCTCTTCCTGGGTGAAGCCTCCAATCCTGCTGTGGAATTTAGATGGCACATCTAAACACACTCTTTCTGCCACCAGTAGGCCTGCAGCGGCCTTGTTACTCGGTGTCAGTAAGACACAGGAAAATCTACTGGAAGGCTTCTCGAATGGTTTTTCCTCCTTGGGAAAAAAGATAAATCCCACTAAGGAAAAGACCTTTTTGCTCCTCTTTTTATCCTACAAGGATGAGGGAGGCATTTTGCCGACACACCAGGATGGCAGAGCTGGGTACCAGCACCTGCTGAGTGACTGCCCCAACCTGACCTGCCTCCTTCTACACCTGTTTTGAAAGATTAATGCACTCCTCTAATTTAAGGCATGGCTAGTGGGACAACCTGTTATTTGTGGCAGGTGCACCCTAATTGGCACAGGGGCGCATTCACTTAGACGGAGGATCAGAAAAGGCTTCCGAAAGAGTGGTTTGGATGTTGAAGCCTGAAGGATAAGTAGTTCATCAGGTGATGAGGCAGAAGGTGAGAGAAGAAGAAAGTTTTCCAGCAGAGGGACCAGCTCACGGGAGGGTATTGAGAAGAGAGAACATGGCATATTTGTCAACACGAAGAAGTTCAAGGAGAAATATTGGCAGGAGTCAAGCTGTGAAGGTCTGGTTAAGGCACATGGACTCTCAGGGCATTTGGAAATCACTGACAGATTACAGGAGAGAAGTGACATAATCAGGTTTTCATTAAAAAGCATTATCCTCGGGAACAGAGTGGAAGGAGGCAAGCGTGACTATAGGGAGTCCAGCTGGAGGTTAGGACCAGCGCCCTGCATTAGGAGTGGTGATGATTTGGACTGTGGACATGGGTGGTGAAGGAGGATAGAGAAAAGTAGACAAACTTGAGAGATATTAAAGTAATAGGATAGAAAAACTTGGTGTCTGATTATAGGGTGTGACAGAGAGAAGTCAAAGACGGGTGCCCAGAGTTTTTGGTTTGGACAACGGGGCAGGTGGTGGTAAGCTGACAGTGAACATGGAAAGAAGAGCAAGTTTGGCGGCAGTAAAATGAGCTCAGTTTGGGACACACTATTTCTGAGATGGACGGGTGGAGATGTTTCTGAGACGTAACAAGGCAGTTGAGCATGTGAATCTGATAGGACGAGATGCAGATTTCGGAGTCATCACACGTCACGTTATCGAAGTCCTGAAGGCAGACAGGTGTGCGGAGGGACAGGGTGAGGCGTGGAGCCACACGGGGGAGAGGACGAGGGAGCTCAGGGCAGACTCTCAGGTAGTGGCTGAGTTTCTCTCCTCACAGGCCTGTGATTTGGGCACATCAATTAACCTTTCCAAGCCTTGGCATCATCTGCAAAATGAGAATGATGAAAGTATCTATATCATGGAATTGTTGTGAGGAGGAAATAAATGAATAATTAATAAAGCACTCTGAACAGATCCCAATCATAGCCAATAGTAGTATTCAAAGTATTCAGAACCAACTTATTGATTAGACACAGAAGGCACAGTGTCTAGGGCCCACAAAATGTTTTAATCTTTTCATAAATCATAAAAGCAACCATTTAGGTTGAGTAAAATAATTTAATACATGATGTTTATATAAATATATATATTTTTATATTAACATAGCTGTAAACTGTAACTGTTCATTGTTTTTATGGAGGAAGGGACCCACAAAGACAAAAGTGGCTGGAGCCACAGAAATCAAAATGCAGCCCCGGTGGTAGTAGCAGTGGGAGGAAGCCCCCAAAACAACATTTTTGGGATTGGCGGAGAAGGGGAGTCTGCAGAGAGGTCTGCGAAGGGGCGGCCAGTGATGTCAGAGGAAAACTAGGAGCCCTGTGCTCGGGAAGCCAAGGGAAGAGAGGCTGCAAGGACACTGTGTCCAGTGCTGCCAAGGAGTCGGTTGGAAGGGGACGGAAAGTATCCAGGGGATTCGGTGACAGGGACCGTTGTGTTCTCAATGATGGTGGTCTCGGCGGTGAGAGAGGGAAGAGGAGAATCGCAGTTTCTGAGTAGTGGAAGGTGAGGGATGGAGATGTCTGGTGCGTGCATCTCAAAACACTCAGCCCTGGAAGGGAGGCTCTTTGAAGGGGGCACCAGCTAGCTTGCCCTGTGTCCAGACACATGTCTCTCTGGTTCCCGGATACATGCAGAACTGTTGCAAGTTATGATACTCAGCGGGCTAGTGGCTCTTGGCACCTGAGAGTTTCCGAGGGACAAGTCCAATGGAGGGAGTGCTGGCCTGTGAGTCCACAGGCGAATGGAGCGATGAAGACGGCAGCCCAGACAGAGATGTTCACCCGGGTTCTTCCGACTCTAGTCCTAAATGTGGGACTCACAAG